GGGAAAGCTCCTGAGGGGCAGGGCTCTGTGCCGGGCACCTGCTCAGGCACTGCTGCACTCATCAGCTGTGAGTGCTGTTACTAAACTTGGCACTGCAGCTGCCTACAACTCCAGCAGATGTTTCTAATTTTTAGCACAGTGGAAATTTCTTGAATCACTTTTAAACTCAGATCCCAGGGAGGAAACCTCAAGTGACTCATCCCCCAGTGAAGGCACTGGCTCCGCGGCAGATGTTATCGGAGAGAGGAGCTGCTGGAGTGTCCAGCTCACTTGTCTCCTCACTCCCCAGTGCCAGAGCAGCCATCCTGTGTGGATCAAGTGTCCTAAATACCAAAAGGGAGAGACTGGACCCGCCCTCCCCTCCTTGCCTCGCTGCTCACCCCGTTCCCTGGCTGTTGTCAGGGAAGGGAGCCCTCGCACCGCGGGGTGAGTCAGAGCACGGGGGGATGTGGGAGCGATGTTCCAGCTCCTCACCTTCTCCTCTGCTCGCATGAGCTCAGCCCCAGCTCGTGGCTGCCTGCTGGCTCCAGCCTGGGGCTCGGCTCCCTTGGATGTCCCCAGTGCTGGCTGAGCTGTGAGCACCCAGGGAGGTGCTGGGTGACACAGAGCACCTGAGACCACCCTGGTTCCCAAATATTACTCAGGCATTTAGTGATAGGACAAGGGGGAATGGCTTCAGAGTAAAAATGGGAGATTTAGATTGGATGTTAGGAAGAAATTCTTAATTTTAAGGGTGGCAAGGCCCTGGCACACGTTATCCCAAGAAGCTGTGGCTGCCTCATCCCTGGAAGTGTCCAAGGCCAGGTTGGATGGAGCTTGGAGCAACCCGGGACAGTGGAAGGTGCCCCTGCCCTTGGCAGGGGGTTGGGCTTTGAGGTCCCCTCCAACCCAAACCGTTCTGTGGTTTTATGATAACTGCCCTGCTCTGCTGAAAGTCCCAGAGCCTGTGTGATCCCTTTCTTGCCATAGAAGTGGGAGGTAAATTCAGAGTGTCCTGCAGGGCCATGAAAGTCCGAGGGAGACGCTGGTGTTTCCTGGTGCCCTTTGCCTTCATCCCACTGTGGTGGTTTCAGTTTGAAACCAGGCAGAAACACCAATTTCGTGTAGTGGTTTCAGTTCACCAATTTGAGATTTCCCAGGCAATGCACCAATTAATGTGGTGGGCTCAGTGTTGGCCAAATGCCCACGTACCCTTCAGAATTATTTACTCGTTTTCTTGCTGTGAGATGGAATTAGGAGCAAGGCAAAGCAGCTTCAGCCATCCCAGCTCTGCTGGCTGCTCAGAGTCCAGGGCCTGAATGACGGCTGTCAATGTGTTCAGGGGTGGGATGTGGGTCATCTGGGGAGGGAGTGGATTTCATGGAGCAGGTTTTCCCTGTCGTGGGCTGACAGGAGTTGCCCTGTCCTTCCTGCAGGTCCTGCTGCACCCCAACAGCGGTGCCGCCGGGAAGGCGGGCGAGATCCAGGCGCTGCGGCTGGCTCAGTACAAGGCGTTCTACACCACAGGTACTGCGTCCCTACCACGGGTTGTAAAGTCTAGGAAGAGGCTTCTGGAATTCTTAGATCCCTGCAGATGCAGGTGAAAACCAGCTCAGGTTAATTCAACCAAGAGCATACCCAAGGACGTGCTGAACTGGGTCTGCAGGGTGGTGCTGCAGCCTGGGGTTGGTCTCAGGAACGCTCTTGGAATAAGATAAGAGCTGGGATGTGGTGGGAATGGGCCATTCTGGGTGGGTGAGGAATACAGAGGTGATCCTTGCACCTCTGTGACTCCCATTTTTCTCCCATTTCCTCCCTAGGAGGGGCCATGGCCTGTGATGGCAGCACTGGGCCGGCACAGCAGCACCAACCACCCCTCATTTTCAACCTGGACCGTGACATCCAGGAGCAGGAGCCTCTGGACGTGGCATCCAGGGAGTACCAGGCAGTGCTGCCTGCCATCAGCAGGGCTTATGCCCAAGCTCTGCAGGACATTGCAGCAGACAACGTCTCGGTTGCAGATTATTCCCAGGATCCAGCTGCAATTCCCTGCTGCAACGTGCAGCACGTGGGCTGCCGGTGCCATGGGGCTCTTGGAGCCACGCAGGATCCCCACGGGGAAAGGAGAACACCACGGCTTTGCCTTTGAGCAAATAATTGCTCAGGCTGCTTCTTTCCCAAGGGTGGTGTCTGAACTCCAGGCTGGAGGTGGCCATGGAGAGGGATGGAGGCTCTGGTTCCCTTTGGTCTGTGCTGGGAAGAGGGAGGTGAGTTGGCTGTGGGCCTTTGGACTTTGGGCATGTGGAAGGCTTTTTGTAGGGCTTTTATCTGGGAAAGAGACAGCTCTTGGATTAAAACTACCTTCTGTGAAAGCTGGCTTTGGGAGAGGATTCCTTTGGGAAGTTTGCTTGGTTTTCCTCTAAACAGAAATGTTACAGGAGCAGCTGTGGGAGCACAAGGCAGGGGAGGATGGGGCTCACAGCCTCTGGGCAATCAGCCCTTCTGCTGCAGAGACCCTGAAGTTTGGTGGCTGCAGAGAGAAAATTCCTGCCCGGCACGAGGGGAGTGCTCTGGGAATGGAGCACCTGCCCCACCAGCTGCCTGCTGAGTTCATTAGAGGGGTCATGGCAAGGCCCAGTGTCTGTGGAAGGAAGGAAGGAAGGAAGGAAGGGGGTCCTGGGCTGCCCCTGAGGCCTGCCTTCCACATGGGAAGGATGCTCAGCTTGTCCTGCCATGGTGGAGCTCAGGACTGCGCTGTGACATCCCAGGGGTTGGGAGAGGCTGTTCCTGCAGGTGGCAGGGACAGAACTGGGGCTGCTCCCCATCAGCCCTCAGCAAAGAGAAAGTGTAACTGGGGGGTTTGGGGGGTCAGGGAGAGGTCCCTGCCCTGGGCTGTCCCAGCAGATCAGGGCTCCAGGCAGAGGAGCTGCTGCTCCTGGTCCCAGTGCAGGCACAGATGGAGTGAAACGGCTCCTGTGGGGCCCTTCTGGGCAGGTGCAAAGGCCTGGGGAGCTGCAAAGGCGGAAATGAAGGTGCAACTGAAACCTGAGAAACCACTGGGATTTCTCAGCAGCCCACTGATGGTGTTCTGAAACCATTCTGGATTCTGATTTACACAGCCAGATCTTTCTTTAGCTGTAAGAGGACTTGTGTGGAACTCACCCAGGTGTGCTGCCCTCACCCCAGCCCCCAAAACCCTCCCACTCCCCAAACTTAATCCAGACTGACACCTTTAGGGCCCCAAAAAGAACAGCAGGAGCTGCCAGGGACAGACTGTGACTTTATTCTGTCTTTCAACATAGCAAATGACATCTTCTCTAATATCACTGCAAAAATACTTTGCCTGGGTTAAAATAGTCTGTATATACTGTACAAAGACATAAGTTTAATATCTCTTCCTATAAGTACATTTATACACATAAAACAGCATAAATTAGAAAAGGGACAAATGGGTATATAAAATTCTGGTTACATACAAATCTGATTAAATTAGCATTTACACTGTGGTTCTAACATAGAGTTTGTTAAATAGAGCCATGTGCATACAGTATATTGACACCCCACCCAGACACAAATTAAAACAGGGGCTAACAGGGCCAGGTTTCACTTACACAGAGGAAGAAGTCTGGCCCACCTTAATTTCTATTTTTTTTCTCATCTCGGGGACTCACAGATCTGTTCTTCGAAACTCCTGGCTTTTCCAAAGCACCTCCCAGCAGCTGTCCTAAGCGTGGGTGTTTTGCTTCTCCTCATGACCTCTTCGCCTTGCCCGGCTGACCTCCACGGCACAAGATTATCTACCAAAATCAAAACAGAAGGGCCTTACTTTTCCCAGCACCAGGGAGTGTTTCCAGTTGGTTTTACGCACATGGGAGGAACAGGGGGAGGGATGTCCCGCAGTGTTTTACTTTCCATTCAAAGGCAGATTGGTGAGAGGTTTATTTATTTGCTCTCCCCCTCCCCAAATTTACAGTCCTGGGAACAGGAACCATCTGGATCAGTGGTGAGTGGGTCTGGCCTCTGGCTAGCTCTGGGCTGAGCAGAGCCAGGCTTTGGGGAGTGCAGTTCCTGGGGGTGAAGTGCATTTGCCTCACTAAGTGCTCCCCAAAAGCTCAGCTCTGGCGTGGCTGGAGGGAAAGGTTCATGCTGGGGTCTCTGGATGGATCCCAGAGTTCAACATTAGCCAGGATTAGGGGAAGGACAGCGCAGCCTAAACACCAGCAAAGCCTCTGAGTGAAAGACTAAAGCAGCAGCAGGACCCTGATTCACCTCCCATCAGCTACTCCTCCACAGAGATCCTGGGTCAGATGTGTCCCTGCTCCTGTGGGCAGCCTGGCACAGCCCTGTCCCAGCTCCAGCCCTGCCAGCTGTGACCTGGAAGGGATGTGAACCCCACAGCTCCTGCTCCAGAGGTCTCTGCCTCTCCAAGAGCTGCGGGACCATCACTGGCCAGGTTTCCAGGCACAAGCATTGACACTGGATGGCACAATTCCCAAGGGACTCTGATAATGTACTGATAAGCTGGGTTTAATCCTGCAAGCCCCAGCTGCCCAAAATGCCAGGCTGAGCTATAAGGGCAGGAGCCAGGTTCTGCCAAACTCCCTCATCCCCCATGACACATAACTACAAGTAGAGCCTCAGTGGAAAATCTGTGGCCTTTCCTCTGCTACCAGCCAGCTGTTAAAAAAGAATCACTTAAAATAATTAAGTGTTCATATTCATGCAACAGAATGAAGGAAACACCATCCAGCAAACAGTCAGGAGGAATCTGGGCCAATAATGCTTCTACAGAGGCAGAGATGTATCTGCAGCCTGCCTTGCTGTATCCAGACCTGTGGTCTGGAGCAGCAGAAGGGTGTGTGGACCCTGTGATAGGGCACTGATTTCTGCCCTGTTGTAGATCTCCCTGGATTTTTTCCCTCCAACAGGCAGCAGTATCCTTGGCAGCACAGGAAACTGCCCAAACTGTTTTGGAGCAGCCAAAACCGATGGGAAGGAGATGGTTTTTGAGTGATGGAATATCAGTGAGGGGAAGCTGCCTTTGAAGAGCTGATTGTAGTCACAATTGACTTAATGAAATGGCTCTCCTGATAAAACCTTCACCTCTGGGCCCTGCAGCCAAATGCAGGATGGATCACCTGTGCCTGGAAAGCATTGAGCAATTTGCTGAAAGAAATTATCCTTCCTACTGAATCCCAGGAGTTTTGGGCAGACTCCCCAGCTGCACACAGAATCCTGTAGGATTTATTTTGCCAAACCTCACAGCACCACCCCGAAACTGCAGTGCCCTGCCTGGCCCAAAACACACCCCAGCAGCTGCCTGCACCACTGGAAACCTCACTCCCTGCTACACCACAGACCAGGGGTGGCTGCTCAGGCAGGTGAGCAGAAAACAGCCCAAATGGCCACAGTTTTGTAGCCAGAGATGGCTTTGCTCTTCCCACCCTGTAAAATCTTTTGATCCTGCAGAGTGAGGGCTGTGCAGCCTCCTCCCTGCACATCCAGCACAGCACCCTTGGCTTCAGCCCCTGTCCCCCTCAGTAACACCTGAGTCCTTCCTGCCCAAGCCCAGCAGTGACTTGGGAGTGCTTAATCCACCCCATCCATGCAGGAATTGTCACTGAACTGGTTTAACCTCCTTCTGCAACCCTGGCACCAGCAGCAGCAACATCCACGTTCCCTCTTGTGAGGCCACTTTTTATGAGTCCTCCTTGGGCTCCTCATCTCCTCTCTGATCTGTCCCTCCTTCCACTTAATGAACAGGCAGTGTTTGACAGATTTTATGTCAGGCTGAAGCTGGTTTTCCTCAGTCTTTAACAGCTGAGCCTCTGAAGTCTTGCTTGAGGTCAAGGGAAGACAAGAGGTTTCAAAATGGGGAGAAACTGTGGGGTTTGAGCACTGCTGTTTCTCCAGAACCATGTCTGAGTTCAAAGCCATACCATGGGCTGCGGGTGAATATTCCATTTTGTCACAAGTTTTGAGGTTTTGAAAAGTCTTTTTGTTGCACACTGGAAAACAAACAAAACCCTTCCCATGTTTCCGCAAAGCCGAACGCTGTCAAAACATTTTTGTTGGATAAGGTCAGGTTTTCTCCCCCTCTCCTCTGCACAGGAGTGACCGATGCCTGAAACCCCCTTCACTGGGACTGGAGATCTCAAGTGCTGAGAAAACAGCCAAGTCCAGTGAAATCCAGAGCATCCAAACATCCTGAGTGCTCCCACTGCGAGGGCAAGCCCCAACCCCAAGAGCAGGGGGCTTTATCTGGAAGCTCTATTTGCTCAGGCACCGTTATCAGGGAGTATTTTTGGAAAGCACCTTTCCTTCCCACACCACCTCCTCCCTAACAATACACATGTCACTGCTCTGTCAGGTTAATGACAGGATTTGGAGGGATCAAAGTTCATTTCATACAGCACCTGCTGTGCTACAGCAGGGGTTTGGGGCTGCTTTCATCCAGCACAGTCCCAGCAGGAAGCCTCATGCAGGAGCAGCGTGATTCCTGCGTGCTGGCATTTGCTTGTCCCCAAACCATGAGTTCAAGAGCAGGTTTAGCAGAAGGAAACAAAGGATTTCTCTCTGTCCCTGCTGCTCCTTCCAGGGGTCTGGGCCATCACCTTCTCTGTGGGCACAGCGAGGGAGACATTTTAAATATCCTTCTTGAGTAATGGAGTTGGTCAAGTGGGAAATTCCTGCTCCCAGCTTGCAGCAGGGAGTGTTGCAGGTAAGGAGAGAAATAATCTGAGGATTGTGTGAGTTGAGCTGGGTTTAGGTGGTGCTGGCTCAAAGGGAGTCATGAGCCAGCCTCCTTTTATCTAACACTTTGCCTCAGCTCAGAGGAAGGTGCCTCACAGAGGTCAGCTCAGCACATGGAATGAATCCTGGGATAAGGTTTGTACTTCCTCCTTTTCAGGCAAAACTCCAACAGCAGGATATGTAAAAATGCAGTAAGGAATTCCAAAAGCCTGCCAAGGCTGCAACCTGAAATCCATTACAGTATTCTGCTGCATTACTGCTATGAAGACATTACTGATTACAACCAGATCATAGCACACACCAACATTTGTCCAATTAGGGGTTAGATACTTAATTAATGAGTATGGAATAGGAAAAGGAGCCAGAAAGACACTGCCAGCTGAAGTTAGATTGAAAAATCCACTAGCTCCTTCCAATGGTAACTGAGAAAGTGCCACATAAAAATCATAAAATGGTTTAAAACTCTGCTATTCCTTTCATCTTCGTACTTGGAAAAGGAGTTTCCTTCTCAGTTACCTTGGAAATGAAGAGACTGGTGAGGTTCAGGTATGTTCCAGTTGCATTCCATGAACCGACTGAAAATGCAACGGGGTATTAAGTTTTTATTTCTAACTTGTTCC